CCCTTACTTTAAGTGCTAACACACCAGATCGATAACTGTTCGGTTGAAATGTGGTAAGACGACTTCCTGGTTCAGTTAGCACAACGTCGACTACAAATCCTGTGATTTTTTTTTACCTTTTTGTGTTTTTATCAATGAACATGACGTAACAAAGTTACAGCGGTTATATTATACAATAGTTTGTCGGAGTGCAAATATAGCGTGTTATTTTTGCAAGTTTATATTACAGCTGTACTACCAAACTAATCGTGCTATATAAGTTGTCCTATTACGGTATGATCCTCGGACCTCTCTTCGTCTCAGGTTTGTTAAGTTTCGGCTATCTGATCACGGTAGAATTGTTGACAGTCTTCAAGAGTATTTATCTCTGAGGTCCATTAGTATTGAGGAGACCAGTTTGACGCAAACAAAACTGGACAGTATATATAGTAACAGTGCTATGTTGGCATTTAATCTGTGTCCCTGGTATTGACTTAAGCATCATGGTATGTGTGGAACTAAATAAATACGGTCAGTACGATTGACTGAACAGCATGAAAATCTGTTACACTCGTAGATCTATGAAATTGTATAAAAGTCTTCTACTATTATGTATGATAAATGGTCGAATTGTAAGCAGGAATATATTGAATTTCCCAGCGGACAAACAAGCAAGCTGTTTATATGTTATTACATCACGTTATACAAGGTACCGCAGTGTTCTTATGTGGTGTTGCTCCGTCCGTCAGTCGGTCCGTTTGTCGTTCCAGTGTTGGGTTATCCTTCGCCAAGCTTCTGGACAGATTTCAACCTAAATTTTAAGCGTCACTTCCAAAATATCAAAGTAAGCCATTCCTTGTCACTGTGCCTGCTATCTCAAAGTGCCAACACACCAGGACAAAATATACCACAGCGTCAACACACAAGGACAAAATATACCAAAGCGTCAACACACCAGGACAAAATATACCACAGCGTCAACACACCAGGACAAATTATAGCAGCGTCAACACACCAGGACAAATTATCGCAGCGTCAACACACCAGGACAAATTATCGCAGCGTCAACACACCAGGACAAAATATACCACAGCGTCAACACACCAGGACAAATTATCGCAGCGTCAACACACCAGGAAAAAATGTATCGCAACGTCAACATACCAGGACAAAATATATCGCAGCGTCAACACGTCAGGAAAAAATATACCACAGCGTCAACATACATGTACAATAACAAAATAAACCACGGCGTTAAGATACAAAAATAAAAATATACTTCAGCGTCAACACACCAGGACAAAATATACTACAGCGTCAACACACCAGGACAAAATATACCACAGCGTCAACATACATAAACAAAATATACTACAGCGTCAACACACCAGGACAAAATATACTACAGCGTCAACACACCAGGACAAAATATACTACAGCGTCAACATACAAAAACAAAATATACTACAGCGTCAACATACAAACACAAAATATACTACAGCGTCAGTACGAAAAAATATATACAAAGCGTCTACACAGTTGCATAAATGTTACCACAGCATCAACACACCAGGACAAAATATACCGCAGCGTCATCACACAAGCATAAGATATACCACAGCGTCAACACACCAGGACAAAATATACCGCAGCGTCATCACACAAGCATAAGATATACCACAGCGTCAACATACCAGGACAAAATATACCACAGCGTCATCACACAAGCATTAAATATACCACAGCGTCAACACACCAGGACAAAATATACCACAGCGTCAACACACCAGGACAAAATATACCACAGCGTCAACACACCAGGACAAAATATACCACAGCGTCAGAACACCAGGACATATATTATACTCGGGTAATTTACATTGATGTAATTCGGTAATTTACATATGATGACTTGGGTAATTTACATATGATGTTCTCGGGTAGTTTACATATGATGTACTTGGGAATTTACATATGATGTACGCGGGTAATTTACATATGATGACTTGGTCAATATACATATATTGTACTCGGGTAATTTACATTGATGTAATTGGGTAATTTACCTATGATGACATGGGTAATTTACATATGATGTACTCAGGTAATTTACATATGATGCACTCGGGTAATTTACATATGATGTACTCGGGTAATTTACATATGATTATATATGATTACTTTACATATGATGTACTCGGGTAATTTATATAAGATGTACTCGGGTAATTTACATATGATGTACTCAGGTAATTTACATATGATGCACTCGGGTAATTTACATATGATGTACTCGGGTAATTTACATATGATTATATATGATTACTTTACATATGATGTACTCGGGTAATTTACATAAGATGTACTCGGGGTAATTTGCATATGATGTACTCGGGTAATTTATATATGATGTACTCGGGTAATTTACATATGATGTACTCGGGAAATTTACATATGATGTACTCGGGTAATTTACACATGGTGTACTCGGGTAAATTTAGATATAATGTACTCGGGTAATTTACATATGATGTACTCGGGTAATTTATATATGATGACTTTGGCAATATACATATATTGTACTCGAGTAATTTACATATAATGACTTGGGTAATTTACATATGATGTTCTCTGGTAATTTACATATGATGTACTCGGGTAGTTTACATATGATGTACTCGGGTAATTAACATATGATGTACTCGGGTAATTTACATATGATTACATATGATAACTTTACATCTGATGTACTCGGGTAATTTATTTAAGATGTAGTCGGGTAATTTGCATATGATGTACTCAGGTAATTTACATTGATGTAATTTACCTATGATGTACTCGGGTAATTTACATATGATGTACTCGGGTAGTTTACATATGATGACTTGGGTAATTTACATATGATGTACTCGGGATATTAACATATGATGTACTCGGGTTATTTACATATGATGTCCTCGGGTAATTTACATATAATGACTTGGGTAATTTACATATGATGTTCTCTGGTAATTTACCTATGATGTACTCGGGTAATTTACATATGATGTACTCGGGTAGTTTACATATGATGACTTGGGTAATTTACATATGATGTACTCGGGATATTAACATATGATGTACTCGGGTTATTTACATATGATGTCCTCGGGTAATTTACATACAATGACTTGGGTAATTTACATATGATGTTCTCTGGTAATTTACCTGTGATGTACTCGGGTAATTTACATATGATGTACTCGGGTAGTTTACATATGATGTACTCGGGTAATTAACATATGATGTACTCGGGTAATTTACATATGATGTACTCGGGTTATTTACATATGATGTCCTCGGGTAATTTACATATGATGTACTCGGGTAAATTACATATGATGTACTTGACATATGATGTTCTCGGGTAATTTACATATGATGTACTCGGGTAATTTACATATGATGTACTCGGGTTATTTACATATGATGTACTGGGTTAATTTACATATGATGTACTCGGGTAATTTACATATGATGACTTGGGTAATTTACATATGATGGACTCGGGAATTTACATATGATGTACTCAGGTAATTTACATATGATGGACTCGGGAATTTACATATGATGTAATCAGGTAATTTACATATGATGTACTCGGGTAATTAACATATGATGTCCTCGGGTAATTTACATATGATGTACTCGGGTAATTTACATATGATGACTTGGGTAATTTACATATCATGGACTCGGGAATTTACATATGATGTTCTCAGGTAATTTACATATGATGGACTCGGGAATTTACATATGATGTACTCAGATGATTTACATATGATGGACTCGGGTAATTTACATATGATGACTTGGGTAATTTACATATGATGTACTCGGGTAATTTACATATGATGACTTGGGTAATTTACATATGATGACTTGGGCAATATACATATATTGTACTCGGGTAATTTACATTGATGTAATTGGGTAATTTACATATGATGACTTGGGTAATTTACATATGATGTACTCGGGTAATTTACATATGATGCATTCGGGTAATTTAGATATGATGTACTCGGGTAATTTACATATGATTACATATGATTACTTTACATATGATGTACTCGGGTAATTATATAAGATTTACTCGGGTAATTTGCATATGATGTACTCGGGTAATTTACATTGATGTAATTGGGTAATTTACATATGATGACTTGGGTAATTTACATATGATGTTCTCGGGTAATTTACATATGATGTACTCGGGTAATTTACATATGATGGACTCGGGTAATTTACATATGATGACTTGGGCAATATGCATATATTGTACTCGGGTAATTTACATTGATGTAGTTGGGTAATTTACATATGATGTTCTAGGGTAATTTACATATGATGTACTCGGGTAATGTACATATGATTACTCGGGTAATTCACATATGATGAAATCTGGTAATTTACATATGATGTACTCGGGAATTTACATATGATATACTCGGGTAATTTACATATGATGGACTCGGGTAATTTACATATGATGACTTGGGCAATATACATATATTGTACTCGGGTAATTTACATTGATGTAGTTGGGTAATTTACATATGATGTTCTAGGGTAATTTACATATGATGTACTCGGGTAATGTACATATGATTACTCGGGTAATTCACATATGATGAAATTTGTTAATTTACATATGATGTACTCGGGTAATTTACATATGATGTACTCGGGTTATTTACATATGATGTACTGGGTTAATTTACATATGATGTACTCGGGTAATTTACATATGATGACTTGGGTAATTTACATATGATGTACTCGGAAATTTACATATGATATACTCGGGTAATTTACATATGATGACTTGGGCAATATACATATGATGTACTCGGTAATTCACATATGATGAAATAGGATATTGAATATGCATACATGTATGATGTACACAGGTAATTTACAAATGAATTTGTATGTACTCATGTAATTTACATACTTAAATGGTATGTCTGTCGTTACAGATTGCTGAGAACGGATGGATGCCGGGAATTAATCTGCCTTCAGAAGATGAGATTCCACTTCCGGAAAGTTGTGACGTATGCGATCACTGTGTTTGGTCTATTATTGATAGTATTCAACCTATATCATCATGACCTGTGGGGGCCAATGTACCAGCCCCAGGACCCACCTTGGGGTCATGGGGGAGTAAAGCGCCCATTTCCTCGTGCGGATGGCAGCAAGATTCATCCGCATATGTCATCAAAAAACCGAGGGAAAATCTCCACTGAAAATGCACCTGCAAAAAATCGGAACCCATTATTCCGATCCAATAAATCGTTGAACCACGAAGAGTTAGGGAATAATTTTGGTCTGACAATAGATGCGCCGAGGGGGATTTGGTTAGAATGGGATCACTATAGTGACGACAGGATTGTCGCGCAGATGCGCCATAGACCAAAGTCTTTGTTAGAAGCTAAAAATGAAGAAGATGTGCCTTTAAAAACCATATTGCTTTACCACGGTGTTGGACACTGGAATATCCGGAGGGGTCAGGAACAGTTCACGCATCAGAAATGTCCCGTCAACCGTTGTACCGTTACGGACGACAGGTCACAGGGGCGCGAGGCGGACGCCGTTATGTTACACCATTCCGGCGCGCACCCGTGGACCCAACGTCCTCCTAACCAAGTGTGGATACTGTATATGCTGGAGTCGCCGTACCACACGCCGGGCCTTCAGGCGGTCAAGGACGTGTTTAACTGGACTGCCACCTACCGGCACGACTCCACAATTGTTGCGCCTTATGAAAAATTTGTGCCATTCGACCCAGCAGTGCAGACTATTCCTCAAAATAAGAGTTATGCAGCTGGGAAAACCAAGAAAGTAGCGTGGTTTGTGTCTAACTGTGGGGGAAGGAACGGTCGGCGCGAGTACGCCTCCGAACTATCCAAACACATTTCTGTGGATATTTACGGGGCGTGCGGTCCCCTCAAGTGCCCTCGTCACAACTCCAAAAAGTGCTTTGATATGCTTGATAACGACTACAAATTTTATTTAGCTTTTGAAAATTCAAACTGTCGAGACTACATCACAGAAAAATTCTTCGTTAATGGCCTTCAGTAAGTATGCACGTTATATACTTGTGTGTTGTGATAATGAACATTGCTACGGGAACAGTCGACCCATGTGTTTCTATGTAAGGCTAGCGTCTTGTTCTGATTCGAAGTCTTGAATATCGAACATCTTTGTCAGGATAAATGCCAAGGTTTTCAACATGTTCAACAAAGATTGTCTGTACCTGTGTCTAAGTTTCCGTCCCGGTGCGAGAGGAGGGATCAAGACTTACCTTAACAGGAGAACGGGTTTCTGTGGGGTTTTTTTGTCATGTAGCAGAAGGATAAAGCGGATATAGTGACTGAACATAGCGCAGAGGTATAGCGGGTATAACAGCCAGTTACATAGCGGAGGGGTGTATATAGTGGCTATATCTGAGGGATGTGGTGAGGAACATAGCGTAAGGGTACAGCGGGTATAACAACAGCGAGTTACATAGCGGGGTATAGCGGGTGCATCAGCGAGTTACATAGCGGAGGAGTATAGCGGCTATATATGAGGGATATAGCGGGTATAACAGCGAGTAACATAGCGGAGGGATATAGCGGCTATATTTGAGGGATATAGCGAGTATAACAGCCAGTTACATATATGGCAGGTACAGCGGAGGAATATAGTGGAGGGGTATAGCGGGTATAACTGACGGATGTAGTGGAAATAGCCGAGGACGATAGACGGTATAAACGATACACAGCGGAAGGATTAAGCAGGTTTTTCGGAGTTTTATATATACATAGCAGTGTTTCAACGGAATAGCGGAGTGCTATAGTTTAAGGGGTATAGCGCAACAATATATACAGCAGCCAATTGCAAGACCAGTATAGCGAAGGGCTATAGTTTAAGGGGTATAGCACAACGATATAGCAACAAAGACTGGAATAGAATAGGGGTATAGCCCAATAAAATCATAGCAACCAAGACCGACATATCGGAGGGCTATAGTTTGAGGGGTATAGCACAACGATTTCTCACATACTTCTCAGGGTGGTCCCGTTGTTGCTAGGGGAAAGATTAATAGAATCCATTCCTGATGTAAGGTTATTCAAACCCAAGGGATAAAATATTGAGCAGGAAGCTTCGGGTCTTTTGCTCAATATTTTATCCCGAGGGTTTGAATTACCTTATCCTTACCTCACATCAGGGATGGATTCTATTTCTTGCTTTTTACCTAAAACCCGTAAAAACAGCTGCTCTTCTAGTAGAGTTGTAAACTGTCCGCACATTTCTCATTTATATATGCAGCACGAATGGCAATTGTTAATGACGTCAAAGCCTAAGGTCTCCCGCTCAATATTGTATCCCTCGGGTTTGAGTAACCTTTTCCATATCTCACACCAGGGATGGATTCTATTAATCTTTTCCCTAGCAACAATGGGAAAAACAATCTTACATGGGTCTGGTCCGTGCTGACCAGTCAAACTCTTACACTCCGGTTGAGATATCCCTGTCGACGGAACAAACCCATGTAAGGTTGTATTAATCATACCAACTAAGACTGGAATAGAATAGGGCTATAGTTTTAGGGGTATAGTACAACAATACACAGCAGCCAAGACCGGAAAGACCGACATAGCGGAGGTCTATAGTTTGGGGGGTTTAGCACAACGATAGATACATAGTAGAGGACTTTAATGGTTGCAATTGGTGGACGCATATCATTGGGCTACAGTGAATAGTGCCGGCGAAATGTGGAGTGGGCGTATGGCTGTATTGTATTGCTGGGGGGAAACAGTGATTGAGACCGTTTGTGTCACATTCTCTCTGATATGAGTATGCCATATTGGCCACAGCACTTTATACTTGTAACCTAATATAGGTAGCTGACATGCGCGGCTCAGTATGCTACGATATCCGGGGACACAGTTGGACTGTAGCCTACTTGCCCTCTGCCGTGAACGATTTGATATAGTCACGAATCCTATGGAGAAAATCTATCCTCCGGAGAATTAAGTATATACATTCTTATTGGTTTGTTTACATTTTTTAATTCGGGGAGGGGTTAAATCAATTCAAGGACCTGTGAAAAATATTCCAATTGATTCGACCCTGATAACTGTCGTTTATCACCAGATTGAGGATTTTATTGACGCTAAGATTTGTTAAGTATCAGAATTACACGGGTTTACGTATAGGTACTCTCTAGTTTGCCTAAAGAAATTCCCAAACATTGTGAATGTTAAAGGGATATTATGATAAAGTGATATCAACGTGTGTAACAGGAGAGGAAAAATTCTCGGCGAGACCGAGATTCGAACCCGGGACCCTCCGAACTATAGACACACACTGTACAAATTGACCCATCTGGTCGCCGACGATTGACCCAGTCCAGTTCCGCTACATTCCTCCCTCATTATTTTTCCTACGAAATATAACGTCTTGACTTCAGCTATTTACTGTCTCATAGACGTATAAGGCCTGTGGTTACAATTGCCAAATCAATGCCTCATATTGTACCCGTGTAACGACAGTTAATCTATACTAATACTGACTGGGACTGGGGATTGGTGGTTTGACATACTCGTTGCCTGGGTAACAATGGTCTCATCAATACTACATACTGTACATATCTAAGGGTAAACAAATGATCCTTTTGTTGACTATGATTGAGTTCAACAGGTGTTTTATTGTTGGAAATATGGGGTAACAGCTTGACAGTGAGCGTTCAACAGCTGATAAACAGCAAGATTTAAGATTTTGTATTTACTCCAGACACACATTTCGTGTGTAACAGGAGGTCAATCTTCAGATACATTTTATAGTGGCAGACCAACTGGATAGATGGATGCATTTTAAAGCAAATACATACATACAAAGCATACACACCAGGCATAGGGTAGAAAATCATAGCATGCATACATATAATATCCATACATAGTATATCATGCATACATATAATATCATACATACATATAATAACACACATACATATAATAGCATACATACATACATACATACATACATACACACACACACACACACACACACACACACACACACACACATTAACCATCGTATAAAATTTACCACTCTCTAACCCTACCACATTAGGACAGTATCCATATACCACACACTCCTAGTATAGATATCATATACCACACACTCCTTGTATATATATCCATGTACCACACACTCCTTGTATAGATATCTATATACCACACACTCCTTGTATATATATCCATATACCACACACTCCTTGTATATATATCCATGTAACACACACTCCTTTTATAGATATCATATACCACACACTCCTTGTATATATATCCATATACCACACACTCCTTGTATATATATCCATATACCACACCCTCCTTGTATATATATCCATTTACCACACACTCCTTGTATATATATCCACGTACCACACACTCCTTGTATAGATATCTATATACCTCACACTCCTTGTATATATATCCATATAACACACACTCCTTGTATAGATATCCATATACAACACACTCCTTGTATAGATATCCATATACAACACACTCCTTGTATAGATATCCATATACCACACACTCCTTGTATAGATATCCATATACCACCCACTCCTTGTATAGATATCCATATACCATACACTCTTTGTATAGATATCTATATACCACACACTCCTTGTATAGATATCCATATACCACACACTCCTTGTATAGATATCCATATACCACACACTCCTTGTATATATATCCATATACACAACGTTCCTGGAATGTATGCAAATACATGTACGATACATACATGCTTTATTTTGATAAGATAATTAAGACTCCTGTAAGATCAACATATTCCACATGGTAAACATAAGTAGTAATTGAACTGCTGTCATTTGGTATTCATCAGCAATGTGAATACCGCCTGGATAAAGCAAATTCCGCAAGAAGCGTTAGCGAGCATCTGTGTCCAGTTGGAATTCATATTACTTATGAATGTCATCTCAAAGCAGTGTAATGCTAAAATGAAGACCATGTTTGGGTTTATCTGTTAATATTCCAAAAAACAGTCTCTATCAGAGGTCTGTTGACGTGGGAACGGTCATAGTGTGATGAAGGTTCATAGGTCAGTATTGGTCATGGGCTGTTCTAAACGATATACCGACTTGGTTTAAATACGGAAGTAATTGATTACAAGCTAGAGTTGTTATTCCTGTACGGCCACAATATCAATGCTATAGATATTTCACAGCAGGAAATGTTTAGAGTCACAGATATTTTTACGATGAAGCTACATTACGCTTCATGGACAATATTGTATATCTCATACTAGCAGTAATTGGACACACCTCTTTGGAGATATATACTATGTCGTTAAGGATGGGTCCTTTGGGATATACACGATGTCGTTATGGACGGGTCCCTGTTCCCTGCCCATTGCCCGCCAAACAGACAGACACCGACAGCCCGAAGTACTTTATGTCCACTGGGTTCCTCAATACACGTACAAACTAGTCTACACTTTACTAATAGTTTACACCTAACGCCATTGTCAACAAATAACAAAACGTACATGAGCAGGCAAGAGGGCGATGTCTTGTCTACTGGCCTCCAGCTCGTCGCCAAGTTAACGTGGAGGCAGGGGAGGTAAATTAGTCATATACAAAGGGAGCCAATTAGTCACGCGCAAAGGGAGGTCAATCACCCCAGTAATGTATGTGCAGCAGGACGGGGACTGCTGAAGTGAAATCAAAATAGTCCTTAAATATAAATATATATATTCATTTATTTACCTTTCGATATTTAGTTCGAAAGATAAAATTAACTGAAGGTATTTTAGATAGAAATGTTAAAGGGCCCATGTTAACAGATATCAGTTTTGTCTACTCTTACTATGAAGCTCAAACTGATTCAGTGCCTTACAATCTCAGCTCAAAAAGGTGACGTTCGTGACGTTTTCTTTATTTGAAAGTTTTTTTTATTCATTTGATGATCACATTACTGCACCAGAGGGCGTTGTTACGCGCGACTGACACTCATACCGTCCAGCTCGGTCGTTTGTACCTGTCCGATTCGTC